GTGTGTGTGAGAGAGAGAGAGAGAGAGAGAGAGAGAGAGAGAGAGAGAGAGAGAGAGAGAGAGAGAGACGTGGAACAAGGGGAGGAACACTGACCTTCGCCAACATTCTCCGGAAGCAGCGGCCACGACATGGAGTGCAGCCCTTGTTTTTGCACGACGGCCTGGAAAGGTATATGGGGTTTGAATTCAAATTCTTAGCACCTCCCTGCCAGAGAGCATCTCAGGAAGATGCGTTTCCCCGAGAAGGGCAAATCGGACAGGCAGCAGGGGAAGTAGGACCGCCGGTCCTGTAGGTGCATTCCGAAAAGTTGTGCCCCTCAATGACAGGGGCCTGCAAGAAAGTTCAGAGGCCCAGCAGTACACATCAGGGTAAATCGGCCGTCGGCACTTCAAAAAAAATCCCCCCTTCTTTTTTTTCTTTTCGACTTTTCCCTGGCTCCGTCCTGATATATATAACCGTCCTGTTTTCACTTTCACTTAGCTGTGCTTCACTGACCTCTCAGCATAGCTCTGTGGTTCACTGACCTCTCACTGTTTTTACATAGCGAGTTCTCGGTGGCGTCCCATACAAAAATACTTGCTCATTAAGGCACCAACCTCTCACTGTTTTTACATAGCGAGTTCTCGGTGGTGTTCCATACAAAAATACTTGCTCACTAAGGCCTCTCGGTTGTGTCACGGCCGTTTCCAGCAATGCTGCAAGGTGAGTTGTCAGTCACCACTGCAAGCCACCAGCATGACACCATGGCTTGTCTGCATGCAAGAGGGATGGGAAATTTGTGGTTTCGTGTGCGTTCGTGGATGCGTTTTGCTTCTCATACTTAATTGAAGGAATGACTAACCTAACCGTCCATCCATCCTTTTTCTTCCATTCATCACACAAATCTCGCATGGTAGATCAAAGATAACTTTAGGAGCAATGAGCTGCAAAGAATGTTGTCTCAACATGAAATTCCCGGTTTACTTCTGCCTCAGCAGGAACAACATGGGTTGGGCATCAAGCGCACATGACTTGGTCGCATTTCTGGAGGGCCTGGTCCGCAAAAAAGCGCACGTCCGCGTCAGGGTCCTCGTTGAGCTCTAACAGGCATGGCCGGATCGTCTGCTCCACAACCTGAAACCCAAAAACGTAACCATTCCACAGACACGAAGCACATGAGGAAAAGCAGGTGAAACACAAAGCAAGAGCAAGGCAATCTAGAACGTTCAATTTCGCTTTGACGACATGATGGAGAAGAGCGGCTAGAGGAGAGCAAGACGATCTAGATGATTCCATTTGCCTTTGACGACATGACGGAGAAGAGCGGGCAGAGAGAGAGAGGCAGAATGAATGAGCAGGGAGCAAGCCGAATGGCAGGACATCTGGACAGAATGGAGAAAATTGCAAACAAAGGGATGAATGGATGGACAACCCTGAAGAGGGGATGAACGGATCGATGAACCAATGCATGGAGGTGGGCGCTACTGGAGTACACACACATTCCATTCCAAATCTCATTGACAACTTGAGAACTGATCCCAGGTTTGAAAATTCCTTTCAATTCCAAAAATCTATGAATCATTTCTGCTGCTGCTTTCCATAACATCCAGCGCAGGCAAGATGGTCCACATAATCAAACATGCGTCGACAAGCAGAAGAGGACGGTCGGAGAAAGCACCCCGGTTATGAAACATAGTCAGTTGTGTCGGTCATAGTACACTGGCAAACACAGCATAGATCTAGAAAAATGGATTCTATGGCGAACAGATGGAATATGTGGTAGCTAGAAAGAATTGAGAGCATATCGCTCGTCAGAAATAGGAAAGCATTGGGAAATGAACAAATGATGCATGCCTCTCTCTCTCTCTCTCTCTCTCTCTCTCTCTCTCTCTCTGTGTGTGTGTGTGTGTGTGTGTGTGTGTCTGTCTGTCTGTGTCTCTCTCTTACGCGCACACACAACAGCCGCAAGCCAAGATTCTGTTGCAAGCAAAGCTCCGATGGGGTCGTTTGTGAGCCTGACGAGCCCACATTTTTCAGGGAGTAGGTCCTCAGGTGTAAGGAGTACCAACCAAGTCTACTGAGATCCATCACCTTTCGAGTGAGATCCTGTATCCACTCTTTGATTCAAAGAAAGAATGTTCGTATGACCATTTGACTTTTCAAACCTTCCGAAGAACTACTGTCTTCACCTGAATAGAACACCCGGTCATTATAGCTGTTTGCAGGGCATTTTCAGCCTAGGTGCACAACTATAATGATGAGGCGTTCTATCAGCATGGCAATGGTAGTCCAGAGATGCTGAAGTTGAGACAGAAGAGGCTGGCACTGGTGGTGGTGGAAACGACTTCGACGAGGGTAACATGAAACCAGAAGAGGGAGTTTGACTCGTCTGTGGAAGAGGGAGTGACGTCCATACCGATGTCTCTAGGATTGGAACCAAGTTTTGGAGCATTTTGGCAACGTTGAATCTGATATTGGGCACTCTGCATAAAAGAAACAGTAGAAGTCACAAACAGAAGTCACAAACAGATCACACCACAGCAGCATTAGAAAATGCAGAAGTTTGAAAAGCCCAACAGCTGAGTGGCAAATATGATCAAAAGCTAATGAAACCATACACAATTACACATAGAGGGAAACACTGCACTGCTCAGACCAGAAATGCAGGCAACGGGTGAACAAAATGGCTGCCGATCATCCATCATGCCAAGATACAACACAGCTCTAGTGTCCGAATTGGACGGTAATCCAAACACACATCCCATTTTCCTAACTCTGTTTGATCTCAAAACAGAGTTTGATGTGCACCAACAAACACCATGCTTCCATATTTCTGTTTTATCTCAAAAGGCAGTGTCAGGCAAGTTTGATGAGAATTCAGAGTCATAGGTGCACGGAGCACTTTAAACAAGGACATCAAGTAGAAGATTGATAGCACGTAGATGCTCCACAAACTTCGTGGAAGTGGGGGCAGATCAGGGGAGCAACTACCCCCTCACTCCAGCATCTCTCTCTCTCTCTCTCTCTCTCTAGCAGCAGGCAACCGCAAGCAAGCTGTGAGTGGATCCTCCCCCCTCCCCCCCTCTCTCTCTCTCTTCACAATTCACCTCGAGTCTGTGACTTGTGACAATTAGCGAGCTCTTAGTAATGTCAAGAGACGAGTAGAGCCCAGGCAAAAGCCTGCATTACACAGAAAAGAGTCGCATGACATCAGGGTAAGAAGAGAATGTGTGGATGAAACGAGGTGCAAGGTCACCAACCTGTCCTTGGAGGCACTTATAACCGCAGGGAGCATTACACTACATGTCACTTCGCTCCCAACAACTGGTGCAAGGAGAGAAATGGCAAACAAGACCGTCATCCGATACAAATAATGATTATTGTCAATCAACTTGAGAACCTGCAGACAGACAACATCATACAAATGGACAAATTCTTGTCAAAAAAAAGTCACACCTCACCTCAACAATGGTGCATGAACCCGCGGTTTTGCAGCAACCTGTGCGTTTAGTTTGAATGTAAATACTGTAAGCTCATTTGTATTTCAGTTTTGCCCTCTTAATCTCAAAATTGTTTGCTTCTCCTTGTTCGTTTTGCATTCCGCCTCGGGGATGTTTCTAAAATTTATGCTATTGGGAGACAGTGGTAAATATTTCCCCAAAAAGGATTTGCTCCATACCAGGTACTGCCTAAAAGTAATGCAGGGTACCAGATGTGTCCGATACTGCTGTACAGTGCCTGGGAAGTGCATAGATGCAGCAGTACTCGACAACAGAGTTCTCTCCTTGCCCAGTTTCTCAAAATAGGCTGGGCCACGAACAAGCACCCAGGTGCAGGACATATGGAAGCGGAGTCTTCGAGCATCTTACAAATGACCGAATGTGGTGGGGAGTAGCCGGAAAAGAGTAATGACATGTGGATGATGAAGAAAGGTGTGTGCGGAGAGTAAGGAAGCTGGAGATGTGGGAGGAAGTTCTGTGGAACACATCGGAAGTCCGTGCAACGCATTGGAAGTCCGCGCACAGTGGAATCGGATCATGCAAGAAGGCCAGCACAGGCCCAGATCTCGGCTGCAAAACGAGTGGAGGTTGAATGGGTTGTAAGCCGACTTCTCTTTCTGTTTCAGAGACTGGCAGAGTGATGTTAATCTAAAAGTTGTTATCAAGTCCGAACAGCGTACCGATCGTACTTCCCAAAAGTTTTTGATGTCTTTCAATTCTTTTCGGGTTCCGCACCTAGGCTGCCCAACATCGTGCATGGTCATGAAGCAAGAACCATGCCAGCCCACCCAGAAGGTAGCCAAGATTCTCACTGTTTTCATTTTCAAGTGCATCAGTTTTGTTACTTCGCAACCCGTCTCCTTCCTTCCTCTTCTTCTTCTTCTTCTTCTTCTTCTTCTTTTTGTTGTTAATTTGCAACCTGTCCCCTTCCTTCTCTTCTTCTTCTTCTTCTTCTTCTTTTTCTTCGTCTTCGCCATTGTTCTGTCCGCCATCATCATTGTCAATGACATCTTCACTGTCATCACTGTCAGTCCTATCCCTCGTCGTTAGTATCCATCCTGCCTCACTCAACACACAGCTCAATTATTTTCACACAACAGCGACTGCACTTCTTCTTCTCATTGCCTTTCTTTTTTTTTTTTTCTTTTTTTTTTTGACTGCACTGCTTTTCATTGTAATAAATTGTATAATGTTAATTCACGTTCTTACTATTCCATACCTGTGGGACAATGTGCGTCTGTGCCCACTCAGGTCCAAATTCCTCTGCCAACCTCTTCAGGTTGACCGTTGCCGCTTCCCTTATTGAATACACCTGCATAAACAATCCAAATATAATAATCAGCGATCAGCACACAGCAACATCAACGACCAATCCCCCCCCCCTCCTTCAGTAACTGGTGCATCCGGAGTTAGACAGTGGAGAGGCCTGATATTCTACCAACCAACCCTCCACATATCTCTAATTGCTTCATCATAGCACGAACAGCTTCTCCATTTCATAGACCAGATTGCAACAACAGTCTTGCATAACATCACAAAATATCTTGAGGTAGCCTCAGGGCCATCTTACATCACCTGTCCCCCCGACCACCCACCGATCGACCCCAAGCACCACCGACCGGCCCCAAGCACCACCGACCCGCCCCGACCACCCACCTACCCGCCCCAAGCACCACCGGCCGGCCCCCAGCATTACCGACCCGCCCGACCACCCGCCGAACGGCCTGAAGCACCACCCTACGACCACATGCAGCGTGTTTTTGCTGAACCAACGCGGACAGGCACTGAGACTACAGAAATCAACGGTAAGGAAGGGCGCCCTTCACCCGTATGCACCACACTTTGCAAACCCCGCTTTGGCTACTTTTTCAATTTTCATCTCTCAAAAACTAAAGAACTTGGACCAAGCCCATGGCCAGTTACGGATTGGTTCACGACAGCAGGTCCAAGGGTAATCCTGGTTTAACCAAAAGGAAATAACAGGATAAACCGTTAAACCACCAGTACTTGGGCCAGCTATCGGCAGTGGGAAAAGATAAGAGTAGAAACATTTAGTCGGATGAATTTGGGCGCTCCTGTAGTGAGCCGTACATTTCCTGAAATTGTGGCTTGTTACCGGGCACAACTTTAGGAACTACTGGTGGTTTAAAGAGACTGAAATATTGCTCGGCCAGGAGAGCCTCATCCTTTCTTGGAACACAAACTTCTTGACCCTTCGAGTCCTTCACTGTTTTTAAAGTCGACTTCGAACAGGGAAACTGCGATTCTAAAGGACCGTGCTCCCATGGTGCCATGCGAATAAACCATCTTGAGAGTTTTTTTTTCTGCACAGAGAATCTTCAGATTGGAGAACAGAAAATAGTCGAGGCTGCGTTAGAACCTCAACATCTTCCGACTGACGAAACAACAGCCCTATTCAAACTGAAGCATACCTGGGACAGATTTCCGATCCCTGCCAGTCACAAACCCATCATTCAACCAACTCCCATAAGAAGGACCAAAGAAACGGCCGAGCTGTAACTTAGGCACGGCCCTCGCTGATGTACACAAAAATAGTGGCACGGCCCTCTCCGAACGTTGTCGTCAATCGCCAATTTGCTACTCAAGGCAAGGGAAGTAGAAGCAGCCATCCCCTTAAATACATGTGGGCTCAGTTGCCATACATACCTGGTCGTTCAGCCACGACATGCAGAGTGAGCCAAGCTTGTCATCGAAGAACTCCACACCGAGCTGGCTGGCCAGCAGCGGAATGTACTCGATAATGGCCAATCGTACCCTCCAGTGACGGTCCTCTGCAAGTTCGACAATGGCCGGAAGAAGGGACTGAGACAGCAGATCAATGCCAATAACCTGCAACCCCACACAACAACAGAGTCCGCAATTAAATCTCACAGCAGTTAGAAAATCTGATATGCTTTCACAAGCGAATCGAGGGACTGAGACAGCAGGTCAATATGCCAATAACCTGCAACCCCACAGAGCACAGAATACGCAACGGAATCTCACACCAGCTAGGAAATCTGATATCGTTCGACAAGTAAATCGAGTTCACAATAAACTAATCAAAATACTAAAATAGCGTTCAGCAAGCCGTGCAGTCCATGTTATTGCCAGGCAAGAGCACAAATGGCACCCACCACATGGACATACTCTAGGAGTCTAGGTGGTATAAATATTTTGGCATTTGAATGTACGTTGTCGGGATATCTGGAACAGTTCCGCGGCCGACTCAGGCATATGACGTGTGACTATCTCATACGGTTCAGATAGGAGTCGCGTGCCGCCGACATGTTTTGCTCAAGGAACCGGAGGTAGTAGTTTACTTAGAATGCTGTGTACCTGGGCGAGGACCTGAAACTTTTTTTTGGTTTTCTCTTCTTTCCTCTCTCCCCAGGAGTGAGATATCATCTCCAACCTGACCAGCCCTGGGTAAATTCAGAGTAATCTACTCGTTGATTGGGATTCGAACCGAGGTCTGTATTTGAATCTTCAACAGTTCATGGGTGTACCAACTGCGCTAGGCCCTTTGGCTTTTCTAAAATTTCTCTCCCCATTTTCCTCTTTTTTTTTTGTTATGCGCAAGCTGCTTTGCATTCGTCTGTTCTGTAACATTAACAAAAGACCGCTTCATGGCATCATGATAGAGACAAAAGACAAACAAGAGACATACACAGTAGTTGAAACGGCTCAGGTACTACTACAGACTGTATAGAACCATCTTTTAGGTCCCATACAGTCGTGATCAGGGTGTGCGGTGTTCCGGTAACCACTCCCCGATGGTTGCACCATTGGCTCCCCATTCATTGTGCCTGGAAAGGGGAGGGGGAGGGGGCGGGGGGGCNAAAGAAGAAGAAGAAAAAGGAAGGAAAGCCCCACCTGTTCATCACACATATAGTCATTTTATAATCATTGTATATAGTCATTATATAAAATCATTCTTTATCGTTACATATATTGTCACACCTGTCTCTTATACACATCTAGATGTGTATAAGAGACAGAAGCTATACCGACCCTGCTAAAAACCTCCGCACATGCCGAAGGTTGAAAAAAAAAAAGTATCATTTCAACACTTCGCACCAATAGCGCCAGAGACGTCGCATACAACAGGAAAACACAACTCGAGAGCACGGGGACATCATTTGCCATTTTTAACACTTACCTGGTTAACCTGATCCAGTTTGCTTATGATGTTCAGACGCACATCAGGGAACTCATCTTTCAGAAGACTCAAGAATATTGGTAAAAGCTGCTCAATGGTGACCTCCTGCATTTCGCCATTTGACCATGGCCAACCACAAATCCAACCAAACGCGAGCAATCACCCAGTTCAACTGTCAGGTCATATCAATACATTTTGAAGTGACCAGAACAGAACCAGGGGAAGGAAAGACAGCTCTGAACCTCAGCACTCTCTAGCATGTAATGCCTCTGTGCTCACACACGATGGGAACATGGTGATGTGGTGTCCACAAGTCCCTTATACGCTTCACATTCTTCAGCACGGATGAGAAAGAGCTAGAAAACAGACAGACAGACAGACAGACAGACAGACAGACAGACGGAGAGAGACATACAGACAGACAGAGAGAGAGAGAGAGAGAGACATACTCGTTTCTCTCCTGACACAAAGAGTGCGACAAACTCATTTCTCTGTTGTGAAACACACACACACACACACACACACACACACACACACACACACACACACACACACACACACACACACACAGAGAGTGACAAACTCATTTCTCACAGTCAAAAGCAGAGCACAGGAGGGTGTCGTTTGGTGGCCACAATGAGTAACTGCTTATATGACTTGGTGCTCATGGTATATGCTACTCACGCAGAATGTGCCGTACACCTCATGATGGTTATGAACTTACAATTCAAGAAACTGCCACAATCCATAGCATTCTGCAGCTCAGCTAATCAGCCATTCAATGTCATTACCTAACATGAGTCCAGTCAGAGGATGACATGCTACGAAAGGGTTCTGTTCTTCAGGACGACATTGGAGAGCTTGATTCACAAACACAATCAGACAGCACAGTCACCTGTGAGTGTTCCATATGCAGGCAGAAATCAAAAGTTCTACATATAATTACGACTCTTAAAAACAGCATCGCTCAACATAGAAATTTTGACAAACTTCTGACAGAGGAGTAGAGAATATCAGACCTTGCCAAGAAGTGGTGCAAGTCCCATAATATTTGATGCAAGTGCAGCACGAACATACTGACTCGTATCGCTGGCGAGCTCCTGGCATACATGATAGGCAAACGATGAGCGCAAACAGCACAAGACATAGACACACAGTCAGAGGTGGTGCATGATCCCATCAGAAATACACACAAAGAGACTGTGCAAGGACACTCCACAACTGAGCCCTATCTCTGGATCTCAAAGTGTCCGTCTTGTGCAACATTCAAGGCCTGTAAGATAATCAGTTCTCAATGAAATGACTGTGAAATCCATGGAAAACCATAGGCCAGAGATCACAAACAATTATCATCCAAAGAAGCTCATTTGCAGTCCCTAAGAGGGAAGGGGGGTGGGGGGAGGGGTGAGGGGGGGGATGTAATGCAAACCAGTGGGACAATAGAGCTGGGTGGATTTGCCAACATGATACAGAAATACTCTCTGTGGCAAAAATAAATACGAACCTCTCCGGTAGCATGACACACTTTCAAACATCCCTTGTGTTTGTGTTTTTTTAGCAGCAGTAAAATTTATTTAAATTCAAACAATCCAACAGGTGGGACAGACAGAACATCTGGGGAGAGAAGGACAGCACTTGGTGGTGGAGCAAAGGTAGAGCAAACAACCAGGGAAAGTAAAGTGGCTCTACCCTTATTTTTGGTGTAGACATAATGCACATGACATGTGTGGAGACAGCACAGACATCATCATCTCTCTCTCTCTCTCTCTCTCTCTCTCTCTCTCTCTCTCTCTCTCTCTCTCTGTGGTGCGTGCACACACACACAGTGCAGTGTGCCCCTCTGTCACGCTGTTCTCACAAAGCGCAAAGAAAAAGAGCATTCCCAGGCACCTCCTAGTGGTACTTTATGGGCTGGGTGGTGTTATGTGACATGGGCGGTTCCATGTGGGTCGCGTGGTACCATGTGCACTGGGTGGTGTGGCTGCAGGGTACAATTGTGGGTGTGGACTGGATGGTACTATGTGGGTTGGGCTGCAGGAAACCACCCTTGGCCCATAAAAAAGACAACTCCTACCATTATTGTATTGGTCTAATTCTGTCACAACTCGAGCCTGCAACCTGCCTACTAAGAGCGAAATGAAAACAGCACAAAACTACCAAAAAAAAAAGGCAGGGAGGGGGGGGAGGGGGAGGGAAAGGCAACCCCTAACGTTAATGTACTCATCTGATTTCATCACAATTCAAGCTCCTGACCTGTTTACTAACAGTTACACATCTGTCGCCCATCCACATGGGCTAGGCATACACTTGGATTTGAAAAGCCCCTCGCCCTTGGGAAAAGTATCAGGCCTGAGGCATACACTTGCATTTGAAAAGCCCTCGCCCTTGGGAAAAGTATCAGGCCTGCTTTTTTTCCCGAGTATTAGATAGATGTATGTCCGTGCCTACTCTCACCTGGGGTGTAAGCATTTGGGGTATACTTACGTAGCAGGGGTCAGCTAAGCATTTGGGTTATACTTACGTAGCAGGAGTGAGCTACGCATTTCGGTTATATACTTGCGTAGCAGGAGTCAGCTAAGCAAAGGTGCCGGTAAGGAAAAAAACTCAAGAACTGCCAACATCATAACACTTTGGCATGCATTAAACCACCACTACATCCGAGCCTCTTTCTGCCAAGGCAGATACCCCCTGCGCGCCAAGCTTTGCCGAAGCACCAGCACAGAGCTTCTTTTCTCTTCCGGTAGCCCCGAGCCTCTGAAGAAGGCGGA